GCTGAATGCCCCTTGTTTTTGCTGGTCTGAGCCAGTCTCCTCTGAGGTGATCAGGCTGTTGGTGCTCTCCGTAGTTCATGGAGCAATCCTGGAATTTCCACATGGTCTGCAGGCCTTGTTCACGCTCTCCTCTGTCCTCTAATCACCACCCATTTTGTGTGCCATGTGTGACCATGCTGGCAAGCTCATGAAATGGGACTGCTCCCTGTGCGTGCTGCCAATGTGATCTCTGTGGATATGTGTCGTCTCCAAGATGTGTTGGTGTGCTTAGTTGTCTTGTCTGCGTAGTGTGGCAGGAAGGACTCATGTCATACCTGGAATATAAGCTGATTGTGCAAGTCCTGCTGGATTGGCACTGGACATCTCAAGGCGGAGCATTTCAACATGGTAATCTGTAACTGGCACTAGGGTCCTTGTAATTAATTATGTTGATGCACACTAGGCCTTTACCCATGTGGACTTGGCTGATTTGCTGCAAATCTTGGTTGAGAGCAAAATGGACTTGTAATGCAGATGACTGGGGTGGTGGTGTCAACACCCAGTTTTGCTCCTCAGTGCTGTGTTTTGGTGGGTTTTTTTGGTGGTATAGATGGAGCTGGTAAAGATGAGGTGTTGCTCTGAGAAAATAATGAGTTTGTAAGACTTGATAGGTTCCCTGGGACCTTCTGTCTTGTGTCCTGACAGGTGGTGTGGGAGATTGGAGCTGGATTTGGTTTCCAGCTTAACTGCTAGTATTCTGGGGGACCTTGGGGTGTTACCCCCTTGGCTTTTGGTTTACCCTGCTCCAAGACAAATGCAATGGTACTGACCTTGGTTTTCATGGTGCTTTCTCATCTGCTAAAGGGTCTTAAGTTATTGCTGCTTTGTGACAAAGACCTACAAATGGGTGTGACAACTCAGAGTCTGTGCAATTAATAAATACAACTAGGTGGGTAATTTGAGGTTCTTAGTAGTATCATAATAACTAAGTTATCTATATTTCAGGTAAGTGGTGAAGTTTTCTGCTGGCTTTTTTTTTTCCTTGCTCTGTTTTGTGGGCTATGGCCACTTGCAGGTGACTCTAGAAAGCATCACTTAACTGTTGTCTGCTCTTCAAAGGACTTAAGATGCTGGTGTTGATCTTTATCTCTCCTTGTCCCACTCTGTCTCGCACTGGTTTGTGCCTTTTGACCTTCCACCACGTATATCAAATTTGTTACTAAGAAGTGATGCTTGACTGTGCAAAGAGAGACTGACTTGGAGTCATGTTCTGAATTAGATATCCCTGAAATTTTGGTGGGCTGGATTTGAGATCTGGAGGGGATGCTTCTGTCTCATCAGCTCCTTCATCTTGGTGTTTAAGTTGTTTGTCCAAACAGTGTTTTGAAGTGGCAATATAGGCTAGTTCAAATGGGTCATATTGCCACCTCCATAAAAGGAAGTGAAGTGGAAAAGAGAATGTGGAAGATCATCTCTAGATAAAGCTTTCCCTTAGCCCTCCTTTTTTTTTTTTTAAAGTTCTTGTGAGCTCTTGGCAAGAGAACAGAAGAGCGTGAACATCTTTGCAGCAGAGAGCAGAGAGGGTTAAGCACTGAGATCAAAGGGAAGGAGTAGGGCTGAAGTCCTCCACTGTGGAGGATCAGGCTGCACCCTTCCATGGTTGGCTGATCAAAGGGAGTGCTGCTTCTGGAGGTAGTTAAAGCAGGAAAACCCCTTGCCCGTATTCCTTCTCCTTCCAGGGAAAAACCGGCAGGTTCATACGGGTAGGCTTTGCATGGTGCTTCCTTGTTTGCTCACATCTTTGGTTAATGGCGACAGCCTGTGAGAAGTTGATATGCCAGTCTGCATTTTTCTGTCCAAAATTGGAATTTAAGCATGCTGATGTAAGCTCCCACGAGTTTCTATACAGTAAGCAGCAAGATTGCTTCTCATTAGCTAATGATCGGTGCTTTACCCATCTGTGAGGGAGTGCTCTGTGCTCCTGCTGGGTTCACAATGTTTGTTTAAGGGGAGCTGCTGCTGTGCACAGAAACTGCCCTTGTGCTGGCAGCCTCCTGGTCCTGCTGTGTGCCAGGCAAAATTTCCTGCACATCCTCTTTGGTGCTTGCTGTTGAAGTTGCTGACATTATTGCTGGGGCTTCTGAAGAGGCTGGCAGTGGATTTAGACCAATGATGAGACAGGTTTGCATAACCTCAGGGAAATTGGGAAGTTGATTTGAGATGCCAGCTCCAGTATTGAGGATGGGATGGTTTGTACAGGTTCTGCATGCTGGGAGCTGAAGGTAGTGTAGTGCTTGGATAGTTTCATAGAATCGCAGAATGGTTTGGGTTTGAAGGGATCTTAAAGATCATCTAGTTCCAACCCCCTGCCATGGACAGGGTTACCTTCCACTAGACCAGGTTGCTCAAAGCCTCATCCAACCTGGCCTGGGAACTTCACTGGACTGCCACGACTTCTCAAATATGATGGCTAGTGGCTTAGCAACTTCATCCACCAGTTCCCTCAGGACCTGCGGATGCATCTCGTGAGGTCCGATGGACTTGTGAACCTTGAGGCTCCTTAGATGGTCTCAAACCTGATCTTCTCCTACAGTGGACAGTTCTTCCTTCTCCGAGTCACTGCCTTTGCCTTCTGTGACTTGGGTGGTGTGGCTTGAGCACTTGTCACTGAAAACTGAGGCAAAAAAGTCATTGAGTACCTCAGCCTTCTCCATATCCCAGGCAACCAGGTTTCCTGCTTTCCTACAGAGAGGGCCCACATTTTCCCTAGTCTTCTTACTTATCACTGATGTCCCTATCTTGTTGCCCTTGACATCCCTGGCCAGATTTAATTCTATCAGGATTTTAGCTTTCCTAACCTCATCTCTGACTGGTTGGACAATTGTTCTGTATTCCTCTCAGGCTAGCTGTCCTTGCTTCCACCCTCTGTGTGCTTCCTTTTTGCATCTGAGGTCGTCCAGGAGTTCCTTGTTCATCCATGCGGGCCTCCTTGCATTTTTGCCCAACTTCCTCTTTGTTGGGATGCATTGCTCCTGAGCCTGAAGGCATACGCCTGTGTCTACGTCCTCTTGTTTGTTCCCCATGATACGTATGTTTGCATAGAGACACTTAAGTTGGGCCCCCAGTGAGGCTGACTTACGGGCTGGAATTCCTTTGTGCTGCTTTTCAGGTGCCCTCCTGTAGGCCTTTGATCCTTCTCCAGGCTCTGGGCATCTATTGCTGGCACTGGCATTAACCTGGTAGGAATGGGATGGCTTGAGATTCCCCTCCCCTGGCAACTTTAGTTTAAAGCCCTCTTTGCCAAGTTGACGAGCCGATGACCGAAGATGTTCTTCCTCTTCTCTGATGGATGCACCCCACCAGCCCCCAGTAGACCAGGCTTCTTAAAGCAAGTCCCGTGGGAACCCCTGACAGTGGCACCAGTCCTGTAACCATTTGTTGACTCACCAAATTCAATTGGTCCTTTCATACTGCTTCCTTTTAACTGGGAAGGTTGATGAGAAAACTACCTGCACTCTCCCAGAGCTCTGTAACCCTTCATGATACTCCTCAGACTGCTCCCAGCTGTGTCACTGGTGCCCATGTGAAACAAAAGCAGCGGATAATAGTCGGTGGGCTGGATGAGGCTTGGTAGTCTCCTGGTGACGGCTCCGATATGAGCACACCCGTCTAGACCATGGGTCAGACTGGCAAATGGGCACCTCCATACCTCTCAGAAGAGAGTCTCCTACTACTGTCACCTTTCTTATTTGTGCTGGTGGTTATATGGGGAGCAGAGTGGGCTGCTTTACTTGGCTCCAGCATCTCTCATGATGTGATGGGTCTTTCCTCTTCAGTCTGCAGCACGGCAAAGAAGTTTTACAAGGGCACCTTCCTCCTGCTGGTTCTTGCTGTTGCAAGCTTCCATTCTTCTGCATTATTGGCCCCCTACCTTCTGTGTGTGCTGGTAGGGGAGTTTTTGTCTGTTTAGCCATGGGCTGTGGATCAACAGCAGACTGTGCTTTGAACCAGTTATCTAACTCCTCCTTGGCCTCCTTGATGCTCCACGGCTTTCTCACCACCTCCTGCAGCTCAGCCACCTGCTGCAGGAGCTCCTTCACCTGGGCACACCCCTTGCAGGCTGGTCCCTGCCTGTCCCTGACCCAGGAGAAAGGTCTGGGCACCTCCTGCAGTCCAAGCTCTGCCCAGCAGCCTTTCCCCTCAGCAGCTCTGTCTGGGTGGGGACACTGGCCACTGCGGGGGCAGATGGTGCAGACCCCGCAGCCAGAGTTGCAGCCTTTGCTGTCGGATGGGTGCCACTTGTTCTACTCTGAGGGTCAGGTAGGGTGACTGCCCTATGCCTATGCAGGTGGGTACAGAATGATGGCTGCTGGGTTCTGTCTACTTTGACTTTCCCCTCCTTCAGAGAGGCACCCTTCCTGCACGCTCTCCCGTGACAGCTGCCACCCCGCGCCCTTTTTGCCTGTCCT